TCTAAGCGGTCTCCACCTCCACCACTGTCATCCAGGTCCAAACCCCCATCACCTCCCGCCAGGATGCTGCAAGAGCCCACCTGCCTCCTGCTTCCACCTGGCCTCCGACCGCAGCTGGGCGGTCAGAGCAGCTCTGCGAAAACACAGGTCCGATCACGCCATGCCTCTGCTCAAAATGCTGCTCTGCAACTGGACTAAACCAAAGCTAAGAAGTTTCCTGAATACAAACACTTTGAGGGAGAGAGTAGCAGGGGTGGGGTCTGGGGACCATGCTTTCAGGGGACATCTAGGTCAACTGGCAGAACAAAGCTTATTAAGAAAATGTTCTTCATCCTACTTCGGTGAGTGGCGTCTGGGGTCTTAAAAGCTTGCAAGGGGCCATCTAAGATGCATCAATTGGTCCCAACCACCTGGAGTAAAGGAGAATGAAGAACACCAAAGACACAAGGAAAGTAGTATCCCAAGAGACAGAAAGGGCCACATAAACTAGAGACTTCATCAGCCTGAGACCAGAATAACTAGATGGTGCCCGGCTACCACCAACGACCGCCCTGACAGGGAACACAACAGAGAGTTCCTGATGGAGCAGGAGAAAGGTGGGGTACAGAACTCAAATTCTAGTAAAAAGACCAGACTTAATGGTCTGACTGAGACTGGAGGAACCCCAGAAAGCATGGCCCCCGGACTCTCTGTCAGCCTGGAACTAAAACCATTCCAGAGGCCAACTCTTCAGACAGGGATTGGACTGGACTGTGGGACATAAAGTGACACTCGTAAGGAGTGTGCCTCTTAGCTCAAGTAGATACAAGAGATTAAATGGGCAGCTTCTGTCCAGAGGCGAGATGGGAAGGCAGAGACGGTCAGGAGCTGGTTGAATGGACACGGGTTACCAGGGGTGGAAAGGAGGAGTGTGCTGTCACAGTATGGGGTGAGCGATTAGGGTCACATAACAGTGTATGTATAAATTTTTGTATGGGAGACTAACTTGAAATGTAAACTTCATTTAAACCACAACAGTTAAAAAAACATAAAAATAAATAAATAAAATGGTGCTCTGGCCTCCACACACCCGGCGTCCACAGAGCCCACGTGACCTGCCCACGCCCCCCCCCCAACTCTGCCCTCATCTCCTCCTGCCCTCCCCCCTCCCCCGGCTCCCTCGCTCACCCACACTCTGGGGCCTCGACCACAGCAGGCACAGTCCTGCCGCAGGGCCTTGGCACCTGCCTTTCCCTCTGTCAGGAGAGCTTTCCCCAGCCGTCCACGTGGCTCCCCCCTCGCCTCCAGCTCAAACGTCACTTCTCAATGGGGCTTTCTCCAGTCACAGCTGTGCCTCACCCTTTCTCCCTGTCCCTCTTTCCGGCTTTGATTTCTCCTGGTTGTTGTTGTCAGGTGTCCCCAAGTCGGTGCCGACTCACAGTGACCCCGTGGACAACAGAGCAAAACACTGCCCGGTCCTGCGCCATCCTCACAATCCTTGTCATGCTTGAGCCCATTGTTGCAGCCACTGTGTCAAACCATCTCATGGAGGGTCCTCCTCTCTTTCGCTGACCCTCTATCTTACAAACATGATGTCCTCCAGGGACTGGTCCCAACCATCATCCAACAGAGTGTGTGTGTGTGCGTTTGGCTTACGCATCTTGCATGCTGTCTGCCTCCACCCACAGCACATCAGCCCATCAAGGCAGGGGTGTTTCTGGGGACCCCTGGTGCCCAGAACAGTGCATGGAATACAGTGAGTGCTCAGTAAATGCTTTCTTCTTCCCTACACGAGAAACCGAGGCTGGCAACTTGGAGACGCGGGGTGACTTGACCTAAAAGAAACAGACCACACGATTAGCCCAGAGGTTGCTGCCTTGGCCCTCCAGGACTTACCAGGATGACCAGGCCTTTGTACGGCTCATTCAGGAGAAGAATTGATGCATCCGAACTGTGGAGCCAACTCTGAAGCGGATTTGGAGCTGGATGGCGCCGTCGCGGTGGAGGTGGAGCACGCAGCCCCTAGAACATGGTGGTGATACAGCTGCTCGCGCGCTCACAGGTGGTGAACCGGGCGTTTTACCGGTGTGAGGAGCTGCATGGTGAGAGCAGCACGTCAGGCTTTGGGGAAAAGGTGTAAACAGTGACTGCAATCCAATGACATTCCAAAAAGTACAGCTGTCACTTCGGTGACTAAGGTGCATCTGACCCAAGCCATAGTCTTTTCCATCACCTCATATGCGTGCAAAAGCTAGACAATGAAAAAGGAAGACAGAATAAGAACTGCTGTGTTCGGACTGTGGTGTTGGTGAAGAACGCTGCCTATACCGTGGACTGCCAGAAGAACAAGCAAATCAGTCTTAGAAGAAATACAACCAGAATGCTCTTTAGCAGTGAGGATGCTGAAACTTTGTCTCGCTTGCTTTGGACACCTCATCAGAGAAGAACAATCCCTCGAAATGACATCATGGTTGGTGAAGTGGAGGGTCAGCAAAAACAAGGGAAACCCTCCGGGAGATGGGCTGAAACAGTAGCCCCAACAATGGACTCAGACATGCCGACAGTCATGGAGATGGCACGGGACTGGCCGCATGCCGTCAGCCGAGCACCAGCACCACCGAGAGGCCCAGACATGAGCTGTCCTCTGTAGCCAGGGCTGAGGGTGGCAGGCGCCACTTCAGAACAGTGGGAATAACATGGTGCAGAGAGGCCAGGCGGCTGCATGAACCACCAGGAGCAAAACCAGAAAAAAAACCAAACCCGTTGCCATCAAGTTGATTCTGACCCATAGCAACACTATAATACAGAATAGAACTGCCCTACAGGGTTTCCGAGGAGCAGCTGGTGGATTTGAACTGTCAACCTTTTGGTTAGCAGTCATAGCTCTTAACCACTAGCGCCACCAGGGCTTCCAGCAGGAGCAAGGTCAGTGTAGTTGTTGTTGGGAGCGCCAAAGCTGGGCTGGCAGCAAGGTCCACCACAAGCCGTGGATGGCCGCTAGGAAATGGCAGCCCCAGGGGACAATCAGACGGAGAGCCGCCATGATGACATTCCGCTGGCCCTCAGAAGAACCCACAAATGGTAACAGGGAGCCTGAGGGCAGCACCCCAGGGAGAAGTCAGGATCTCTGGTCTACTCTCCAGACCCGAGCCCACTGACTAGAGGAGGGAAAAGGCCTCTTTCCATCACACCGCCTATGGGAATGGTCCCCCCAGTCCTTCCCCGGTAACCAGCCACTGGGGAAAGTGGAATACTCACTTGTTTAAGGACTGTGGTTAAAACAGTAAACATTGATTATCATCCTGGTTTCCTTGGGTAAACAATTTGAGAGCGGCTCAGCTGAGTGTTTTTGGCTCGGGGTCTTTTACGAGGTTGCAGACAAGATGGCGGCCGGGTCTGCAGACACTGGTGGCTTGACTGGGGCTGGGAGACCTGCTTCCAAGGTGCTGGCTGTTGACGGGAGGCCTCAGCCCCTCCCCCCTCCACGTGGCCTCTCCACCAGCTGCTTGAGTGTCCATGACACGGCTGCTAATTTCCGCCAGACCGCGTGCCCCCACAGAGGACACAGCACCCCACTGAGCCAAGGAACCCACCTTGCAGCAAAGGAGGTCAACGGTGGGCACTCAGCCAGGGGTCCACTGGTCACGTTACATTCTGTACAGTCCAGGAGCTGCCCCCAATAAAGGAATGGAACAGCCAGTTGAAGGCTCAGCTGCAGTGGTGTGAAACTCGGCTCTGCCACTGACTAGCTGTGGGGCTTGAGGCAAGTATCTTCCCTGCTGCCATCTGTAAAATGGGGTAATAGTCCTCCCCACACAGAGCTACTGAGAAGACTGAATGAGTTTATATGGTGAAGGGCTCGGACGCTGCCTGGAAGTAAATGCTCAACAAATGTTAGCTATTGGCCGAAAGTTTGGAGGTTCAAACCCACCCAGAGGCGCCTTGGAAGACAGCCCCAGCGATCTGCTTCTGAAAGGTCACAGCCTCGAAAGCCCTATGGAGCAGTTCTACTCTGCACACGTGGGTCGCCATGAGTCAGGGTCGACTCAACGGCAGCTAACAAGGCAATCAGTTAACCTCTGTGGAAAAGTGACCAACCTGAACGTCAACTCTGACCCTCTGAGCACTGTCTAGGTCGGGGTCAGGGGTGGGGCCGTGGCTCTGACCCCTGGAGAACGCCACCTGGAGGCCATTTGGTTCTTGGCGGTAACCCTAAACCCACCAACCACTGCTCTCAGGGAAGGGCAGAGAGGGCGCCAGGCGACACTCTCCCCTCCACCTGTGTGGCCACACCACCCTGGGCAGGGCAGGCGGAAATGAGGGCTTTCCTCCCACCTGCATTCTCTCACTTCCCTCCCGTCTCCTCTCCAGCCATCTTATGGGTGCTGAGCTGAGCCTCAAAGGTCACGGACCCTGCCCAAGGTCACCACACAGACCCCAGATCTAATTCTGAAATCCCCAGTCAACCTGGGCTCCTCACAAGCTGTGCAGCTGGCAGAGCCAGTTTTTCCCTGAAAACGGAGCTAACAACCCCCATTACAAGCCCAGACAGGGGCACAATCCAGGGGATGGACGAGGGCTATCAGGCCGGCAGCCGACCTGAGCAGCGGGGAGCAGGTCTGAGGGCGGTGACGCGCAGGTAACACCCAGGGCCACGGCACGGGGCAGAGGAGCTCTCCTCCGGCTGGGGGAAATCTGGCACGCTTCCGGGGAGAGGCGACACCAGGGATTCGGCTCCACGGAGGGGCTGGCCCGCCCAGAAACCGGAGATGGGGGCGGAGCCAGCGCCCGCAGGCGCCTCCCCGGGGCACGGGCGCCCAGAGCCCCTCCCCGCTGACCCGGGGGCGGCGCCCTGTCCCGGCTTTGGCCCGGCCC